AAACCACTGTTCTATGGTAACGACAATCTTTTGTGAACCCCTTAGATATAGTCTGCAGACGGCCAGGGATCCACGAACCAGAGAAAACCACTGTTATAAAGAGTCATTTTGAAGTTGTTAACCTACTTGATTCATCCTTCCAAGAAGTTTCACAGTCTTCAGGGCGCGACCAGCTCTCATTCCTGTTGTGCTAGCTTGTAAGTGACTCTTTCAGTAAATATCAAGTTGAACAGCTACCTCTGGCTATAAAAGAGTTTTATAAAGAGTTATAGCTAGCTAACTCTGGCTATAAAAGAGTTTTATAAAGAGTTGTAGCCAGCTACCTCTGGCTATAGAAGAGTTTTCTCATCGCGTTCTGTGCACTTTTTAAAAGAACCATGTTTGCGTTCCAGACTGATAACTGTGCCTTCCCTCTTGCGGCATCTGCCAAGCTGGAAAGTGAAAGTAATGCAGTACTGGATCTAGAGAGATGCAATCATTTCAAAACCCCAGTCATGTGGGAGAAGTTAGAGTCTTTTCTTAAAGAAACAACCACAGTCCTGCTGCGGAGCTGGAAGTGCCCGTACCAGCAGACTCAAGCATTCAGGAGATCTGAATCCAGTGATGATTTTGAAGAGACTCTTCTTGCCTTGTGGATTTAGAAAATTGACTAGCAGAAAAAAACCCGAAACTTTGTTAACAGGGAGTTAAGGTCATGCGTGGCACGTGACATCTTTTGGGGAGGCTGGGTGTGCCTGGACTGGGGCCCAGCCCCCACTTGGCCTTCTCCCTCCAAAGCCCCACCCATGCTCCACCGAGACCCCCACCGCCTGCCTGCTGGCTACTCACCGCTTGCATCCGCCTCTTCGTCCCCTCCCCAGTGGGGGCACAGAACTCCTCTGGGGCCCGGGCGGGAGATGACAGCTCCTCCTGCCCGGGGTCCACGGGGCGGGATCCAGTTCCTTCAGCTGTGGTGGGCACAGAAAGTGCCCCTCTTAAAGCAGCCACATTTTTATTCCTGTGCACATCCCTGCTACCCGGTCTGGTGGAGGTGGATTAACTACTCTGATGGGCGGGATTCTCGCATCAGCGTAGGTAGTGTCTATACCAAAGTGCTACAGCAGGGCACCTGCAGTGCTACAGCTGCTCCTCTGTAGCATTTACATGTAGACAAGCCCAGAGGCTGGTTATTGTGTTAACAACAGAAGAAATGAACTGCAACAAGTTAACACAAACAACCCCGAGTCAGGGGTGGCAGGTTTGTAGAAATTTTGGTGGTGCCCAGAACCCGCCCCCCGCAAACTCCACCCCCCACCTGCCTAAAGCTCTGGGAGGGAGTTTGGGTGGGGGGAGGAGGTCTGGGGTGCAGGCTCTGGGCTGGGGCTGGGGATTAGGGTGCAGGAGGGATGCAGGCTCTGGGAGGGAGTTTGGGTGCAGAAGGGGTGAGAGGTTGGGCTCTGGGAGGGAGTTTGGGTGGGGAAGGAGGTCTGGGGTGCAGGCTTTGGGATGGAGTTTCGGTGCAGGGTGCAGGCTCTGGGCTGGGCTGGGGCAGGGGGTGGGGATGCAGGAGCGGGTGAGGAGTGCAGGCTCTGGGAGGGAGTTTTGGGGATGAGTGAGGGCTGGGGGGGGGGGCTGGGGGGGGGGGGAGGGGGGGGGATGAGTTTGGGGTGCACACAGGCTGCCCTGGGGCAGGGGCCAGACAAGGACTCCCCCAGCCCTCTACCCACTGACAGCAGTGAGCTCTGGGGGAGGGGCCCCTCTCTCCCCCCTGCAGCACACTCACCCCCACCACTGTCACTGCACGTGCTCCTAGGGCCCCTCTCAGGTCCAGGAAGCCCCCTCACCTCCCCTGTGGTGGGTGCCGGGGGGTGCTGACATCACATGTGCCTCCTCCCCTGCTGCTGCCCCTCACTGTAGCCTCACTGGGGGTGAAGGATGGGGCTGCCCCTTGCCCAGTGCGGGGCAGGAGTGGTGACTGTGGGCGGGGGGGCCCCCTGTGCTGGTGAAGGGTCCCGCCGGAAAAGGGAAGGGTCCGAGGCGGAAGGGCAGGGGCAGGGCAGCCTGCCCTGCCGCTCGTGGATGGGGAGGCACTAGGCTCCTGCGGCAGCAGTTGATGCCAGGAGCTGGCAGAGCAGAATCAGTGTAGAGCTACAGGCTCCAGGGCCCGGGGGAGGTGCACGGGGGCAGCAAGTGGGAGCCAGGGGACACTGGGAGGAGGCGCATGAGGGCAGCAGGCAGGCTCAGGGGAGAGACCCGGCCCCAAACATTGGTGGAGCCGGGCCCCCAGGCCCTGAATATTGCTGGAGACCGGGCACCACAGGCCCATGTAACTCGCCGCCCCTGCCCAGAGTATGAAAATGATTGTTCCAAACTATTGAGCAGATAATTATGTAAAAACCTGGATAGAAAATCAGGACTGATTCACAACTGACCTGTTAGTTTAACACGGTGGGCTACTGGGAATGGCTAGTATTCCCCATGATTAAGTCTCCTAGTTTTAGGGCCATGGTTTGCACTTTATTACATGGATCTGCAAATGTTCTTCTCAGGGAGACACCGATCTTTATATTTGCACCAGCATGTTATCTATGGTCATTACATTTTCGGTGATGATCCCACATTGAAAAATACAGTAACTCCTCACTTAACGTTGTAGTTATGTTCCTGAAAAATGCTACTTTAAGCGAAACGATGTTAAGCGAATCCAATTTCCCCATAAGAATTCATGTAAGGGGGGCGGGGTTAGGGTCCAGGGAAATGTTTTTTGCCAGACAAAAGGCTATATTTTATATATATACACACACATATACACAGTATAAGTTTTAAATAAACAATTTAATACTGTACACAGCAGTGATGATTGTGAAGCTTGGTTGAGGTGGTGGAGTCAGAGGTTGGGGTATTTCCCAGGGAATGCCTTACTGCTAAATGATGAACTAGCACTCGGCTGAGCCCTCAAGCGTTAACACATTGTTGCTAATGTAGCCTCACACTCTACAAGGCAGCACGAATGGAGGGAGGGGAGACAGCATGGCAGAGAGAGACAGAGACACACACTGTGTGTGTCAGAGAGACCCGTGCATTGCCCCTTTAAGTACGCTGACCGCACTCTAAGTACATTGCCCTTTTAAGTAGATCAGCAAGTTAAGACAGCAGCTGCTGCCAGCAAGCTCCCTCCCCCCTGAGCCCTGTAGTGTCCCCCCCGCTCTATAGAGATGGGGTGAGTGGGGGGCAGGAGCAGAGGGACACCCTGACATTAGCCCCTCTCTTCCCTCCATCCCCTGCACAGCAAGCAGGAGGCTCCCGGGAGCAGCTCCAAGGCAGAGGGCAGGAGCAGCACATGGCAGTGGGGGGAGGGACAGCTGAACTGCCGGCAATTGATAGCCTGCTGGGCGGCTGCCGCACAGGGAACATAGGGGAGATGATGGGGGGGGGGGGCTGTCGGCCCACCCTGGTTCCAAGCCCCCACCACTAGCTCCAATGGGCTGCTCTTCCTGCAAGCAGTGGACAAAGCAGGTGGCTGCCAAACAATGTTATAAGGGAGCATTGCGCAACTTTAAATGAGCATGTTCTCTAATTGATCAGCAACATAACAACGAAACATTAACCGGGACTACGTTAAGTGAGGAGTTACTGTAGATGTGGTACATCACAGGGGTGGTGCTGGGAAAGGATTCTGATAGAATAACGTGAAAAATAGGAACAAATATTTATTGCAAAATCAGGGATCTTCCTACCAGATACTGAGCAACAGGGAAAAGTAAATTACACAAAGAAACGTAATAAGTATTTTAAAAAAAACAAATCCCAAACAACCAATTCCCCACCTGGAAAAGCTTGTGATGTGATGGATGCTGGGAATAGTTTATTCTGTGTGTCTCAATGGGATTTCCCAGTCACTCGCTTCATATTTATTTCATGTTGCTTTTACTGCTGTTATTGGCTCATTGTTCTACTTGAATAAATAGAGGACAGAAGGGCAGATCTTTAGCATCTCGCCAACGTTTCGTGTGTGCTTTCCCTTTATATCGCACCATTGCACGGCAGAGAAAAGATAGGCATCTGACCTATCTCAGCACCACAGTTTTGCGCTCTCTCTGCCAGGGGCTAACAGCAGGGCACCCAGTGATTAGGCAGTTTGCACAGAGCGTTTATTTAAGGACAAAAGCCTTACCGAGAAAAAAGATCAATAAAACAATAACAAGTGGAAAGGCAGACTTCTGCTTCCCAGAGGTCCCCCATCAGTCCTATGGAGACCCTGGCAGGTTCTAGTCCTTCCACTCCTTCACAGGGTTTGACCTATTGATTAATGTCAGTTTGTTGGCTCAAAATGAGAGAGTCTGTTTAAACTCACCCTTTAGACCCCCAAATTTGTCCCCAAGCTCCTGAAGCAGGTAAAATCAGCCGGTGCCCCTGCCCCAGGGGGCAAATCCTTAAAGGCTGGGAATCTGTGTAACCAACCATAGGACTTTGCATTGATCTTCCCAGATTCCCCAGAAAATCCACCCAGTGAGCCGGGAACATACAATTACCTGTAATACACATATTGATACATAGGTCTGTCAATATACGATGGGCCCATGTTGTCCGGCCCATCTGAATACAGTAGTCTCTGAAGTTTTCATACTTTCAAGCTCTGGCTCAAGCTCACAGATCACATTTATCAGGTGGAAACAATCGCTCCCAAAGAGGCTGTGTGTGTTTGCAATATCTGTCACAACGGTAATACAGGCTGAATCGAGACACCCACTCAGGATTTTCTTTCCTTAATTTCTGCCATTAAAAAGTGTCACATTCTGTACTTCAGGATGGTCCAGTTTGCAGACAGAGAGCTAGCAGGGGGTCTGAAGGAACATGGGACTCTGACAGGAGCATAGAGACTAGAAAATAGCAAGCTAAACGGGACTTTGCAACAACATTGTACTCCTTGTGGAGCCGTAGAGACCAGGATTGAGAGCCTAGGATTTTCTGTGAGGAAACATGGGAGTCCTCCTGAGGCATGGAGACTAATAAGGTAGCTCAGAGCAGCTCTCCAGGAAAGACGTTGTCTTCCAGGCTCATAGAGCTTAGGGAAATGGAAGCTAGAAGTGGCTTAGCAAGAACACTGTAATCCTCCAGGCTCATAGAGCCTAATGAAATGGAAGCTAGAAGAAGTTCAGCAAGAACATTGTAATCCTCCAGGGTCATAGAGTGTAGGGCAATGGAAGCTAGAAGAGGTTCAGCAAGAACCTCTAGGATCATAGAGACTATGACACCACAGGCCAGAGAATCCAGTTTCTTGGGATCACAGCCATGCATCACCCTCTGGGGGACAGTTTTATGTGGGACAAAAATACACAAAAGTAAGGGAAAACTCTCTCCCCATTGAAAGAGACCGGCGGGAAAGCAAAGAGCAGCTCCTCGTTGCTGAGGTCATAAAATGACACTCGCCCCAGTTCATAGTCCAGATAGACGCCGATCTCATTGTTGTTATTTTTGAGGGGCACATAGGTGTTGGAAGGGCTGGTGAGCGCCACGCAGAGGTGATCATATTTCTGCAAACCCAAGACTCCCGTGTTGGGTCGAAAGACAATATGTCCCTTCCTCCTCACAGACTCTCTGGCCACACCCACAGTCCAGAACATCCCATCCACCTCCACCTCCCAGTAGTGTCTCCCCGAGGTGAATCCCTCATAGCCCAACACACAGGGATCAGTGTCAAATCTCTCCGGACGGTCAGGCATCTTCTGACTTGGTTTTCCCCATCTGGCACCTTTCAGGTCCTCAGAGAGGATGAGTTCAGGACCTGCCGTGTCTGGATCCAAAGTCACGTTCACTGCATGACAGAGAGAGAATCTTAGCATTAGAGGCTGAACTCAGCACTTGGGGGAAGGTTGGACAGAATATTCAAGAGGTTAGATATTAGTACAAAATAATCATCTACAACTGGATGCCCACAATGTCCCCCACAACGACTTCTTTTTGTAGGTGAAAGGTAAGTCTGAAAGTCCACACCAAACCCTTGGTTGTTAAAGGCCTACCAGGGATGCTGGAGCTATCAACGACCAGTGTGAAAAAAACTAGGACATTCGGAGGTGAGGATACGAGCAAGGTACAAGGACATTTTATGTTTGTGTTTTAAAAGCAAGAAACATTGAAAAGATAGGACATTATAAGTGATGGTCATTCAAATAACCTTCACTCTGCCCCTCTAGGTACCCACTCTTCCATCTTTCCCTTCTTCTATCCAGGGAAGCTGGAACAATTTGTACAGTGGGGGTGCTGAGAGCCATTGAACCAAACAGTAAACCCTGGATATGACGGAAATCACTTCAAGACAGCACCCCTAGTTCCAGCACCTATGCTTCCATCCTTCCTAGTTCTGTAAAATGTGTCCTTTTAGAATCAAGGATACAAATTCTTAGCCTATAGCCATAGACAGGGTAGAACTGAACACTGCACTGAGAGTGGAGTTAAGAAAATGGGAACAATAAACCATCATTTTAAAAGCTCCTTTCATGCATACACAATTCTGAATGGCAACACACACAATAAATATGCTGCCTCACTGCACCCACCAGTTTTGTACACGTGTGATCTAGACGTAGGAGGTGAGTTTACATAGACACACTAGCTCCATGCACGAGGACCCCTGTGCAACTCTTGGGGCACAGGATCTTTGTAAATAAGGTGGGATAATTGACGCTCATGTACTGTGACGGATCAGAAATGGACAAAGCAGCTCGTCTCCTGTGCACTCCACATGGTCCTGAAGAAGGATTAATGTGACCCAACCATTTTAGATTTTAGCATCTCCATCCTTAGAGGTTTTTAAGAACAGGTCAGAGAATGCCTGTCAAGAATGGTCTAACTATTCTCAATCCTGCTTCAGCGAGGGCGGGTGGTGGACTAGATGACCTCTTAATGTCCTTTCCAGCCCCACATTTTTATGAGTCTATAAGCAATTCTTTGTGGTAACTGATGAGTAGAGCTGGACAGGAAATGAAAATTTTACCCTGTAAAGTTTTTGTTGTAGGGCGGGGAGTTTATATCTATACATAAAACTGACAGTTGCCAAAAACTGAAAACATTTTGGGCTTCGATTTTCCAATAATAAAATAAAACAAAACCAATGAAAGCGTGTGTGTGTGTAAATGTCCATTTAGTTGAAAAGACATTTTCTCACCTTCCCTCCATCCCGCAAAAAACAAAATCACGGATAATTGTCAACCAACTAAAGTTCTGGAAAGAAGCATAAACTTACAAGACACCCAAATATTTCCTAGTGTGGATGGATAAAGTTATTGCAGAGTCTTTCATACAAGGGGGCAGAGTTAAGGTTGTCATCAGTGACCTTACCTGAGAAATTCCTTGCTTTCACATGCTGGGTATTTTTGCAATGTAATTCTTAAAATGTCCTGCCTGAATGTCTGCAGTGTTGTTGTAGCAGTGTCAGTCCCAGGATATTAGAGAGACAAGGTGGGTGAGGGAATATCTTTTACCTGAAGAAGAGCTCTGTGTAAGCTTAAAAGCGTGTATCTCCCACCAACAGAAGTTGGTCCAATAAAAGATATCACCTCCCCCACCTTGTCTCTGCCTTAATGTATTTATTTAAACAATATTGTATCTTTGTGTTTCTTGGACCCTTCATCCTGAATTTCCTAGTTTCTAATGAGTGCTGTTTTTTTAAATCCCAATGTTCCTGCAAAGTGCTGATTTGTCTGTTGGGGGGGGGGAGCTGATTGGCAGGGGCCCACCGGTGGGTGCTGACCACCCACTATTTTATTTCCACGGGGCTTGGGTGCTCCAGCCCCAGAGCCCCCACGGAGTTGGCGCCTATGGGCCCGACACCCCATTGGGAAGCTCAGCAGAAGTTCCAGTGGCTGGGGAAAGTGCATCGCACGCTGACGAAATTTCGGAGCGGTGGTTTGTGTGTCTTACCTTTGAATTGCTTCAGAGTTTGGGGGTTGAGGGAGAACTCCGGCGTCCTCTGCCTCGGTTCAGGAGAAAGAGCCATTGCAGCCCGCACCTTCCCCTCCTCACGGCTAGAGGAGGAAAAACACCAACCACACATTCATTAATCGTCACCTGATTGCTCAGTTCAAGTGGCAGCAAAACATCAAGGGGCCCATTTGTGCCTGGATCTGGCACGGGGTCTGCAAGTGCTCTGGAGGTTGGGGGAGTGATGGGGAAAGACCCACGATGGGGGGCAGTGTGGAGCACTGGAAAGAGCACCAGACTGGGAACCGGGACACCAGGCTTCAGCTCCCTGTGTTCTGCAACACACATGCTGGGTGACTAAAGGCAAGTGACTTCCACTCCCACCTTCTGCCTGGCTTGTCTAGACTGTACATTCTCCAGGGCAGGGACTGTCTCTTTGTGCGTATGTAGTGGGGTCCTGATCTCAGCTGGGGGTATACGTACCATGGTAATATAAATACTAGGGAGTCTTTTCACCACCATTCCCACACAGGGACTAGGCAAAATGTCCATCCCTGGTCCCTTCTGACAGCTGCTTATTCCCTGTCTTATAGCTTTTCAGCCCTTTGGGTGAATATTTTAAAACTTTTCTCTGCAACCATGAGAGTTGCCTTAAATTGCCTTAAAAAAAGAAGCCGCTGAGGTTTTAGTGTAATCACATGACTCCAGGAAATGGGGCTTTAAGAAAACAAACACAGAAAAAATCACCACCCAGACGTGTAACATTGGAGATGTGTCTTTCAGCCAATGCCCAAGCCCCTTACCTGCATTGTGAAGTATGAGGGGGAAGTGAGAAGGAGCCACGTACCCGTTCAATATGTCTCTGGCATCCTATAAGTCAGAGGGAGAGGAAAGGGAGTTCAACTCCACATGCCACACTCCTCCTGCTCCAGAAGCAGCTCATTTTTTGATCACAGTTACCAATAGCTGGTCAATTCAGATCTATGTCTTTAATCTCTCAGTTCCAATCGTTAACTCTCTGAACTCCAGCAATTAGGGTTTGGGGCTTGGAGAACCTTTTCTCCACTGCTAAAATAGAAACTCCCTATTTATGAACCGTAGGAAGTCAAATTACCCAGGGAACAGAAACGAAACCATGTGATTTTGGCATCCAATCACAAGGCACCAGCAGCAAATAACGAACATTGTATATGCATAGTAGTAGCCTGCGTATGAGCAATCCATACCCCACCTGCAAACTAAAGGCCCAGGTGCATGCTCAAACCTGAGTTTCGGAGTCACTTACAAATTTGTGCCTGCAACTAGAGGTGCAGGAATTGACAAGCTGGGCTGAGACCTTGGTCAAAATGTGTTTCACAGAGATAAATGCACTGGGACCACGCCCTCCCCCAGGAAGCTGGCCCCGGTCACTTGGAACTGCCCTGAGATCTGGTGTGATACATGGATCCAGGCAGAGACACCAGTGCCTGCTGATAGTGTGGGGGGGGGGCGGGGGAGGGCACAGCGAGGGCACCCGGCTTCAGCAGTGTTACTGAGCATGCTCAGTCCATGTGAGCATGATCAGTACAATCCAAGCAGCAAATCTGGGATGGGGCATGTGACCCCACATTCCCCCACCCTCTATGCCTCTGGATCCAGAGGCTAAAATGAATTCACACAAACCTTTCGTCAAAGACCTAGCAGACAACTAATCTAGCAGGCAAAGATAAAACAAGATCCAATAACTGGAAGTTAAAGCTGGACAAATTCAGATTGGAAACAAGGTGTTAGTTTTTAAACATGAGGGTAATTAGCCATTGGAACAATTTACAAAGGGGGGCGGTGGATTCTCCGCCACTGGCAATTTTAAAATCAAGACCAGATTTTTTTTTTCTGAAAACTATGCTCTAGCTCAAACAGGAATTATTTCAGGGAAGTTCTATGGTCTCTATACCAGAGGTCAGACTTGATGATCACAAGTATCAGGGGGTAGCCGTGTTAGTCTGTATCCACAAAAACAACAAGAAGTCCAGTAGCACCTTAAAGACTAACAGATTTATTTGGGCATAAGCTTTCGTGGGTAAAAATAGGAGTTACATTTCTAGATGTTGAATCATTCAACCTGTTCTACATTAATGATGGCTCAAAAATAGCAGAGATGTTGGGTTCCTTCCCCAACAAAGAAACAGAAGAAGTTGGAGCAGTTAACACGGAAGTAAAAATACCTCTGGATAAAGAACAGACAAAAGGCTATATGGGAAATATGAGGATATAAAAAACAACCAAGGCAGATAGCAGGAGTCCAAAAAGCATAGTTTCTATTGTAGTCAAGAGGAGACTGGCTATTGACTGCAAAAGAGAGAAGGATCAGTTTGAAGGGAATTGAACAACAAACTTACTGCATAATGCAGAGTGTTTCTAAATTCTGGACTGCTAGGGAGATATCGGGAGCTGGTTTTCTTTTTATCAGTGAAAGAGTGATCCTAACAATTACCATCCCATCATTCTAGCTCTGATAAGATAAACAATGCAGCAGATATTCAGAGATGTGTTTTAAAATGTCTTGCAGCAGATCCCCCATTTAGTTACTTGATTTGCTACTGGTGGTTTTTATTATAATATGTTTCACGCACTAGCCATTTCCTACCTCGCACTGCTCCGCGGCTGTCTCAGTGGAAGCTGTAACATGGTTTCTTGGTGTGCCGTGCAGAACACATAAGTGAGTTTTTGGCCCCTCTTCAGACAACAAAGCAAATTCCTCCTGGTGTTTCTCACACACCCGCTCTGCTTCTGGATCTTTGGCCAACTGCAGAATGAATGGTCTGCCTGCTCAGTTCTACAACACTCCCCTGGGTTTCTCTGCACAGAGGAGAGATGTTTCTAGGTGATTCTTCCAAGCACTGGCTAATGCAGGCGCAGCAAATGTTCTCTCTCCAACCGTGAACACTGGACCTTATAAGCAAGTCACAAGGCTAGTGCAAGCGGCCTCCTATTGGGGAGTTTGGGCTGGATTCTCAGAAGCCACCGCTCCTACTGTGTAAAAGAGAGAAGATCAGCTGCAATCTCCTCATCACAGACATGGCCTGAGTCTTACCCAGCAACCGGCTGTTTCTTTCCCTGGAAGTGTTTTGTGCGTGTTGTTTTGGTGTTTGCTTCTGGGTTTTCTTTAGGTTGCAACGTGTAATTTTGTCAGCGGGCCAGAGCCTGGGAGGCTCAGCAGAGAAACGAATGAAAAGTGGATCTGAAGAGCCAAATCTTCCTTTCTGTAACTCAGTGGTTCTCAAGTAGGGGTACGCGTATCTCTGGAGGGACACAGAGGTCTTCAAGGGGGCACATCAACTCATCTAGATATTTGCCTAGTTTTACAACAGGCTGCATAAAAAGCACTAGCAAAGTCAGTACAAACTAAAATTTCAGACAGACAATGACTTTATACTGTTCTACAGACTATACACGGAAATGGAAGTACAATATTTATATTCCAATTGTTTTATTTTATAATTATATGGTAAAAATGAGAAAGGCAGCAATTGTTTGGTACTAGCGGCTGTGACATTTTTTGTATTTTTATGTCTGATTTTGTAAGCAAGTCGTTTTTAAGTGAGGTGAAACTTGGGGTACACAAGACAAATCAGACGCCAGTCATCTGGAAAGGTTGAGAGCTGCTGCTGTAACTTCTCTGAAATTAATGAAGATCCACTAGGGACAGAGGCAATGCATGGAGGGGGAAATGGGGAGGTCACATGCCCCCCCTCCAGATTTGCTGCTTGGCTTGTACTGAGCATGCTCAGTAACACCGCTGAAGCCAGCTGCCCTCACTCTGTCCCTCCCCCACCCCCCCCACTATTGGCAGGCACGGGTTGTCTCTGATTTATTAATCTTATCCAAGGGTATGTCTATACTGCAGCTGGAGGTTTCATTTCCAGCTCGCGCAGACATACCCCTGCTAGCTCTGATCAAGCTCGCAGGCTAAAAATAGCAATGGTAGCCCAGGTGGCAGGATAGGGAGCCGGCCACGGCACTTACCCAGGGTTTCAGGTGGGGTTGTACTTGAGACGGAGAGCCCATCCTGCTGCCCACACGTCTGTTTTTAGTACGCTAGCTCAGTCAGCGCCAGCGTGGGTACTCCTCTATGCAGAGACAACCCCAGGGGATAGAGTGAGGGCAGCCGGCTTCAGCCGTGTTACTGAGTAGGCTCAGTCTGTGTGAACATGCTCAATACAAGGCAAGCAAATCGGGGGCGGGCTCCTGACCCTGCATGCCCCCCAACGCATCGCCTCTGCCTGTATGAGCTGGAAATTACACCTCCAACTCCAGTGTAGACACATCCTAGAATGGCACAGACATTTGTCAGTGATTCCCTCCCCCACACACACATACACACACCCGCCTCCCAAAGAAAACAAAATATATTTCTGATGAAATAGAAAAATTCTGATTCCATTGATTTTTGTGGGAAGGGGGGCCTGAGGGGGGAGAGATGTTGTTTAAAAATTGAAAACCCCCAAAGTTTTTATTTTTTTGACCATTGAAAATGAAGGCCTGCTCTGTGTGGGTTTTGTACTGACCTGTCTACGTTGCTTAGGGGTGCGATTTGTTTTACTGGGCTTGCTACAGCAAGACAACCCCTAGCGTGGATGTTGTTGTACCAGCAGAAAGGTGCCTTATATGAGGGCTAGTCTTCCTGTACAGCGCTACCGATGCAGCTGCTCGGCTGTAGCGCTTTAGTGACGACGCTCCCGTCGGCGTAGTTAATCCATCTCCGCGAGAGGCGGCAGGTATGTCGACCAGAGACGCCCTCCCAACGACATAGCGCTGTCTACATGGGGGGGGAGGGGGTTGGTATAAATACGTCGCTCAGGGGCGTGGATTTTTCACACCCTTGATTGACATAAAAAGAACAGGAGCACTTGTGGCACCTTAGAGACTAACAAATTTATTTCAGCATAAGCTTTCGTGGGCTACAGCCCACTTCTTCAGATGCATAGAGTGGAACACACAGACAGAAGATATTTATACATACAGAGAACATGAAAAGATGGAAGTACGGATACCAATTGTAAGAGGCCAATCAATTGAGATGAGCTATCAGTGGCAGCAGAAGAAAAAACTTTGAAGTGATAATCGAGATGACCCATAGAAGGTGTGAGGAGAACTTAACATGGGGGGAAAAAAATTCAATTAGTGTAATGACCCAACCATTCCTAGTCTCTGTTTAGACCTAAGCTAATTGTGTCTAATTTGCATATTAATTCGAGTTCAGCAGTCTCTCTTTGGAGTCTGTTTGACGTAGTTATTCTGATATAGTTCTGTAGTATAGACCTAGCCTTCGTATAGGTTATTCCTCTTCCAGTATGGGAATATGTTGTGCTGGTATAATGTGAATGCTAACTTTCTCTGGTGTAGACTAACCTGTAGATGACTCCCTGCTACCCTCTGCTCCCAGGGACCAATAAAAAACCTCTTCCTCCACTGGAAAATAGAGAGAGGTTCTTTTAAAAATTCCCCTTCACTGCTGTTCTCTGTGGTGTGGGCGCTGTTAGCTAAAGGGATTTTTCCTTGAGGAGAAGAATATTTTTCAAAATTACACCTCTACCTCGATATAACGCTACCCAATATAACACGAATTCGGATATAACGCAGTAAAGCAGTGCTCCGGGGGGGGGGGGGGCTGCGCACTCCAATGGATCAAAGCAAGTTCGATATAACGCAGTTTCACCTATAACGCGGTAAGATTTTTTGGCTCCCGAGGACAGCGTTATATCAAGGTAGATGTGTATTGTTATTGATTATTTTTATATTGGTTAAAGTGCTGCTTGGATTTCTAGCCCTGCGGTTGATTCATGTACCTGGGTCTTTCCACAACCTGTAGCGGGAATGTGATCTTATAGTGGAATGTCTTTTTCACTTTCCTGTTCCTAGGAACGGGCTGAGCTTTTAACAAATCGGTGTTTCCCTCCCTGTTACCATCCAAGGGCTGTAGAGATACACTTATCCGGGGGCTGTAAAATAATGGGTCAAATCCTGCTCTTGTTTACACCTGTGTAAATCCAGAGTGACTCCTGATTCCAGTGGAGTTACTCCAGTGTTTTGTCAATGTAAATGAGATCAGAAGGTGGCCCAAATCTTCCCCTCTGCCAGGAAAGGTGGGGGGAATTGGCAATGGCTGGGGAGTCCAGAGGGAGATTGGGCCATTGTTCAATGAAATATTATTTAAATTCCCACTCCGTCGCACCCTCACCTCAGCCCGCTGGGACTTTCCCCTCTCCCCAGCTCTGGTCAGACTGGAATTGTCAGAGTGTCTTAGGGGAGTTGGGCGCCTGCCTCCCATGGCTTAGCCTCCTTAAAGGCCTTGGAAAATTCCAGTCTTAATCATCCCATCCTCCCCATTCCTGCTAGCACCAATCCTTGCCGTGTTCCCCATTGGTGTTCGAGTCACAGTCCCCTCTGGTGAACCGTATTTATGTTCCCTCCCGACAAATGCTTAATAATATAGATAGGGGGCAGGGAAGCACAATAGAAAATAAGGGTATTTAAAAATATGGATTTTATCCTTACTTAGGTAAATGTGAATCCTAAAATAAACACAAGTTGGCTTTGAACGCTGAACATTTGCATGAGCAGCAAGGACAACAGAGAAAGCCGCCGGTTGATCTCACTTAACCAGGGAACGTGGGACAATCCTTTGGCAATTTCCACCTTCTAAAGCCAAGAAAGGGTCTCATCCTGTGACTCCCCCATCTATGTGGGAGGAGCCATTGACCTGCATAGACCCCCCCCCCACTTAAATCGCTGCTGATGTAGCAAAGGGATGGGTGCTTAGAATGGCACCTAATGTTCAATGAGGGGCATATTTTCAAAAGCACTGAAGTGACTTCGAAGCCAGAGTCCCGTCGACTTTCATTGAGTCGTGGGTTCTCAAGAGTCACTCATCTCCTTTGAAAATGGGATTTAGGCACTTCTGAAAATTTTACCCCAAGTCTATGAATCCTCTGAATGATTCTCAATGTCTCTTGTGTAGCTATCATTGCCTATTACATATATTAGGATAACCAGGGGCGGCTCTATGTTTTTTGCCGCCCCAAGCACGGCAGTCAGGTGGCCTTCAGCGACATTTCTGCGGGTGATCTGCCGGTCCCACGCCTCCGGCGTACCTGCCGCCGAAGCCGCGGGACTGGAGGACCTCCCGCAGAAACGCCGCCGAAGGCTGCCTGACTGCTGCCCTCACGGCGACCGGCACGCCGCTCCGCCTTCCCCCCCCCCCCGGCTTGCTGCCCCAGGCACGTGCTTGCTGCGCTGGTGCCTGGAGCCGCCCCTGAGGATAACCCCAACTGAGATCAGGGCCCCGTTGTGCCGGGCACTACACAGATACACAGCGAGAGACAATCCCTGCTCCAAAGAGTTTATATTCTCCCTCATCTCTTTTCCTTCTATACATTTTCCTCTCATATTTCCTTCTATAAACATCCTCACCAGTTACTCTTTGTTTCCCCCACCTCTAATCCCTCTGATCTCTCTCCTCTTAGAAAAGATCCTCTCCTGCTCATCCGAGGAGGGATCCCACAGTAGGGGCAGTGTATAGGGGGTCAGGAACTGTCTGTGCCATGAATTGTCTGCAGGCGTTCGAGAACCTGGGCTCTCTCTGTGCTCCAGTAGGAGGTGGCGTGGGCAGACAGATACTGCTGTGAAGCGAGTGTTCGAAGCTGGGTCGGACAGACTAGAATTCCGCCAGGAGATTCTACGGAGCAGATGCCAGATCCAGGCCCGGGGGGGGGGGAAGAGGAATACTTGATCTCGCAGCTCAGTGACACATTCTGACCTGGGAGCTTTTGTCTGCCACCCAGCAGAACGGGAAGATTCTCCCAGCAAAAGCAACTGCTATGAAAGTGAAGATCTCAGTGTTGTTCTCAGCATTGAAAAATGCCACCTGCCCCCTTTTGTAGTCCAGGGCGACCCTGATCTTCCTGAGTCTCCTATCCGGTGGCAGGCTTGTCCAAGGAGAAGTGAGAGCCACATACTGAATTGGGTTCAGCTGCCCCACAGCCCAGATCCCCTCCTCTGGCTCCAAGCTGACCCCTCCCTTTCTCGTCACAGACTCTCTGGCCACCCCCACGGCCCAACTGCTCCCGTCCACCTCCACTTCCCAGCAATGTCTCCCCGAGGTGAACCCCTCACAGCCCAGCACACAGGGAACGGGATCAAATCTTCTGAAGTTGTCGGGCACGTCCTGCCGTGCAGGTCCCCATCTCACGCTTTTCCCATCCTCAGACAGGATGAGATGAGGATGAGCCGTGTCTGGATCCAGGGTCACGTTGGCTGCGGGGGAGGAGGGAGGAGAGAATCAGAGTGTTAGGGGCACTCCCTTAAATCCCTTTGAAAATTCCTGCCTTTAATGGATAAGGAAAACCTTCAGTTGCACAAGATGGGGTAACTGGCAGGTCACCAACTTTGTTGCTGACGTAGGCTCAGCTAGCAGGGGCTGGGAGGGGCAGGAGTGTCTATTTCTGAATCCGTAACAAGGTCCTGCCACTCAAGCTACATTTTATTAAGGCATCTAAACTGCTCCCCTTCTTCCCTTTGCTGTTTTATCAGCTTCATTTCAACAACTTCCCCTTAACACCGCCCATTGGATGCTACTGGCCAAAGGTGCCGACTTCTACTGGTGCCGATGGGTGCTCGACCCTCCTCTGTCCCCGGCCTCACCCCGACTTCACCCCTCCCCGCCCCCATTCCAATTCCTTCCCCAAAGTCCCTGCCCCAACTCTGCCCCCTCCCTGCCCCTATTCCTACTCCTTCCCCAAATCCCTGCCCCGGCCCTGCCTGTTCCCCACCTCCTCCCCTGAGCGAGCCACGTTCCCGCTCCTCCCCCCTCCCTCCCGGAGCTTGCTACAGCTGTTTGGCAGCGGCAAGCGCTGGCAGGTAGGCGGAGGAGCAGGGATGCGGCGCGCTCAGGGGAGGAGGTGGAGGCGGAGGTGAGGCAGGGGGTGGGGTGGGGAGCTTGGCTGCCAGTGGGTGCAGAGCACCCACTACTTTTTCCCCGTGGGTCCTCCAGCCCCGGAGCACCCATGGAGTCTGTGCCTATGCTACTGGCAGAGGAGCCCGAGTTGTATCATTGTGCCATCATTTGCTGACTCATTTCAACCAATGGGATTGCAAAGGAACTGTAGGCAGTGAATGATGACTGGCTGAAATACTTCTGATGTCACAATGCTGTACCAAATGGGCACTGAGTGGAAATCAGGATTTTCTGGTGTCTGGGTTTTTTGACTGTCATCAAACTCAATAGGGTTCTTCCCATCGATGCCTGGAAGGTTCCCTGAAATTTTAGAATTGATTGGACACGGTCTTCAAAATTTATCACATTACAGTCAGAGAAATGCCATTGAGTGCAAGGCCTCACCTCTCTCACTAAAAAATGTTCATAAGAACATAAGAATGTCCATACTGGGTCAGACCAATGGTCCATCTAGCCCAGTATCCTGTCTTCTGGCAGTGGCCAATGCTACGTGCTTCAGAGGGAATGAACAGAACATGACCCTGTTGTCCAGTCCCAGCTTCTGGCAGTCAAAGGCTTAGGGACACCCAGGGCATATGGTTTGCATTCCTGACCATCTTGGCTAACAGCCATTGATGGACCTGTCCTCCAGGAATTTATCTAATTCTTTTTGAACCCAGTTTTACTTTTGGCCTTCACAACATCCCCTGGCAATGAGTCCCACAGGTTGACTGTGCATTGTCTGAAGAAGTACGTCCTTTTGCTTGTTTTAAACCTGCTGGTTATTAATTTCATCGGGTGACCCCTGGTTCTTGTGTTATGTGACGGGGTAAATAACACTTCCCTGTTCACTTTCCCCACACCAGTCATGATTTTGTAGAGCTCTATCATATCCCTCCTTAGTCGTCTCTTTTCTAAACTGAACAGTCCCAGTCTTTTTAATCTCTCCATGTATGGCAGCTGTTCCATACCCCTAATCATTTTTGTTGCTCTTTTATGAACCATTTCCAATTTCGATATCTCTCTTTTGAGATGGGGCAATCAGAACTACATGCAGTATTCAAGGTGTGGGCGTACCATGGATTTATCTAGAGGCATTATGATATTTTCTGTCTTATTATTTATCCCTTTCGTAATGATTCCCAACATTCTGTTCACTTTTTTGACTGTTGCTGCACATTGAGCAGACGTTTCCAGAGAACTGGCCACAATGACTCCGAGATCTCTTTCTTGAGTGGTAACAGCTAATACAGACTCCATCATTTTACATGTATAGTTGGGATTATGTTTTCCAATGCGCATTATTTTGCATTTATCACCATTAAAGTTCATCTGCCATTTTGTTGCCCAGTCACCCAGTTTTGTGAGATCCCTTTATAACTCTCCGCAGTTAGCTTTGGACTTAACTATCTTGAGTAGTTTTGTATTATCTGAAAACTTTGCCACCTCATTGTTTGTCCCTTTTTCCAGATCATTTATGACTATGTTGTACAGCACCGGTCCCAGTACGGACCCCTGGGGGACGCCACTATTTACTTCTCTCCATTGTGAAAACTGACCATTTATTCCTACTCTTTGTTTCCTATCTTTTAACCAGTTACTGATCCATGAGATGTACAAGAGATATAAATCCTGATGTCTCAAGCATAAGCCAACCACTAGCTGATTGAGGGGGTCAGGAAGTCATTTTCCCTATGGGCATCTTATTCCAAAATTCCACTGTGGAGGAGGGTTGGTAGCCTTCCTCGGTAGCCACTACCAGCTGCTTCAATCAGAGACTGAATACAGGACCAGATAGACCATTGGTCCAACTGGATACTGGACTAGAGAGTCCATTTATCTGATCAGCTAAGAGAATTCGTGAGTTCCTGGAGGAAACTCATGGGGCTTTCTTGCTTAGAGCAGAATGGCATTTGAGAAACGGTGTGATTCACTGATTGTATTGACTAGCTCTTTAGGATCTTATATCACTTCTTAAATGCTCAAAACTAGAGTCCCCTTTTCAGGAGGAATTTCAAACTCCCACTTCTCCTAAATCCCCACCCATTGATTTAGACAGAAGAGAATGAAATGGGGTTGGTTTGGGGAAAAGTTTTAAATAGAGAAGGAGGATTAGGATTAACTCTGAATTTCCTGGGTTTATAATATTTGGTTTTGGGATCATTGCAACATCCCTGTAATGTTGGGTTTTTTTACCCCAAATTAACCCCACCTTAAAGGGATTTTTGTGTGTGTGTTTTGCCTGGGTATAATACAGTACTCAATTACACCATCAGTCCCCAAAATTTACCTTTGTCCAACTGCTTTCCAGATAGAATCACTAGTGGGAGAAAAAGTGAAACACTTTAAATGTAGCTGCTGTCAACGTTATGAAGATATTTCTGTTGTTAACGAACATAACTGCAGATTCATTTCATATACAAAAGGGCAGACATAAATGCAAAGAAACCCACAAAGCTCTTTCTAATCAGACAATGTTAATAAAGTTAAATGGTATTTAGGATTACTTGACTTGTCTGATCCCCGCACCTCTGCCAAGAGCGAGGCAGCATGAACTAGTGGCAAGGGTACTAGATCAGAGTCGAGAATCCTGGGTACTATTTCTATCTCTGCCACTGACCTACTGTGTGACCTTGGGAAAGTCACTTCTAGAACCAGTTGGAAACTTTTCCTTGAAATAGTTTTCTGTCAGAAAATTCCATTTGAGTAAATTGAACTTTTTAACTTTTTATTGATTTTGGTGAAATTTTGGTTTTTTTGGGGAAAAAAGGTAGGGGGCTGGAAATATCCCATTTCCATATCCCACTGCCAGAGCCTTTCCCTGCGGCCTTCCCACTGCCAGAGCCTTTCACCGCCACATGTAGCTACACATACCCTAACCACCGCTGCCAGTGTGGACAAGGCATGAAGGGTGTGTACAGCACCTAGCATAATGGGGCCCTTGTTCTTGGGTGGGGCCTCTATGGGCTACCGTAATACTACTAATAAAAGGGAATCTGTGTCCATCTCCCATTTCTCATCGAGCGGGAGAAAGATGATCAGTAAACAGAGATCCACACACAGGTGCCGACTTTGTCATTTGCCAAGGGGTGTTCGACCCCTGCTTTGCCCCAAGCTCTGCCCCCACTCCGCCCCTTCCCCAAGCCTCCACCCCACATCTTCCCGCCCACGCTCCACCTCCGCCCCCCCTCCTCCCCCCCCCCTCCCCCCCCCCCCCCCCGATATTGCGTCCCGCCCCCCACTCCTCCCCCAGCACCTCTTGCACGCCACTAACAGCTGATCTGCGGTGGGAAGGAGGCTCTGGGGGGAAGGAGATGGGCCAATCACGGGGCTGCTGAGCACCCACTATTTTTTTTCCATGGGTGCTCCAGCCCCGGAGCACCCACAGAGTCAGAGCACCTATGGAGCCATACACGTATACAACTTCATCATTATAGGAAAGTTCCCCTCATCCGCTTGCCCTGAGTCAGCTCAACTGAAATGAGATTCTCCATTAGCTCCAGAAATTTACCTTTGTCCGGCTTTGGTTCAGACGAAAGAGTTTCTAGAAGGAAGGGGAAAAAACATGGAAGAGGTGAAATCTCAGTTGTTCTGACTGGGGAGAGATGCCTACTGTAGATTAGTAAACTCTTTGGAGCAGGGACCAAAATTGGCAGTCGGGCCTCCTGCATAACACAGGTCAGAGAATTTTACCCAGTGACGCTGCATGAAGTCAATAATTTCTGGCTACAATCTTTTGGAAAGAGACACCCAGTCTTGATTTCAAAACTTCCAAGCGACGGAGAATCCACAATGTCCATAGGTAGGTGGCCTCAGTGGTCAATTATTATCACTGTTAAAAATGCGTGCGTTATTTCCAGGCTGATTTGGTCTCGCTTCAGTTTGCAGCCGTGGAATCTCATCCTGCCTTTGCTAGATGAAAGAGCCCTTTGCTATCAGAAATCTTTGCCCTGTGCATATGGGCGGTGGGTGAACCACCCCCCGTTTGGGGAGGATAGCTCCCGGCCCCGCCCCTTCCTCCCGAGGCCTCCCCCTGTGGCCGGAGCCCTGAGCCGCCCCCCCACGGCCAGAGGAGCCCCGGCCTGCCTGACCCAGCCACGCTGGCCCCACTGGCCTGACCCGCCTCGGGCCACTTCCGCCCCTGGCTGCCAGCTGGAGCAGAGCCCTCGCTGGCTTCAGGGGAGCGCAAGGGCGGGGTCACGGGGTAGAGCATGGGCAGCACCACAGCTTAGCCTCCCCTGGCCTGCGATACCTGCTGCCCATGCCCGTGCTCGTGCAGGTAGGCAGAGAGCAAGTGAGGCTGTCCCGACGAAGGGCACGATTCTGTCCTCAGAGTCACTGGGGTAATTATCATTGACCTCTGTGGGTGCGGGCTGTGAGAATCAGCGTTCGCCATTGCTTGGCTTGGTCACACTGGCAAGAGGACAAAGTGGAAAAAGCCCTTATAGCCATGGCAGCAGGCCCGGGGCTTTGGAAACTGGACCCAGAGTGAGTTTGCTTTGCTTTGCAAAGCTCCCGCACGGATACAGAAACTTCTTCCTGGTCTCGAGACACAGGGATCCACCCTCCTTGGGAAGTGGCTTGTTTTATATGAGCTTTTACCAGGCTGATCTCAACAGATAGGGCCTGCTACACACTGAGCACACAGAACTAGCATCTCCTCTCAGAGTTAGAGACATATTCTCCCTCTAGCGGCAACTAGCAGCACACAGCATACTCCCCCCCCCCCCCCCCCCCCCCCCCCCCCAAAGGCTGGTCAAAATTTTTCCATCCAAAACTCCTTTTCAACAGAAACATTGGATTTTCGACTAAATGGAAATTTTTCACAAAAAGTGGCAACTTTCCACAGAAATGTTCAATTTATTTGTTGACATCTGAACATCTGAAAACTGAAAAGATTTTGGCCAAAAATGCTGCCCTGGTGCCTCATGGGAATTGTAATTTGGTTTGCTCATGTTCCCGTTCTCCTTTATGGGACAGGTTCTTGAACTGGACTACATCACCCAGGATGCACCACAGTCGGGGACTCCATGATGCCTAGCATACCTTCCTCAGGAGGAGACTGTGGTGGGTCATGGGAAATGTAGTCCAATCAGGGAGCCCAGGCCATAGAGGAGAATGGGAGCCTGTGGCACCTAAACTACAGCTCCCATGAAACATTGCAGCAATATCTCCAAATTTAAATATTTAGTTATTTGACTGAAATATTTTTTGTTTGATTTTTTGAGGTGGGGAAGGTATGAAAAATCTTTTTTTTTTTCAGGGAAAATGTTACTGCAAACATTTTTGGTTTTGTTGAAAATTTCCTTGAGGAGGGGGTAGAAAAAAAATAACAACTATATCTGGCCCTGCTCTGCTCCCTAGTTGCCTATGCTGGGATGGATCTGAGCATTATTGCCAACAGATAATTGCTTTGCAAGGGGAAATCATCCAGATAAGCTGGGGTATATGGGGCTACCAGGCTGCACAATCTAATGAATTTTGATATCTGTACAGTGTTTTGCAAGCCACTAGCTACTTGGGCTTCAATTTTCAAAGTGGTGTAGGGGAACTGGGTGCCTGTCGCCCATTGGGACTGGGTACCTAACTCCCATTGGAAAAAAATCCTTGGAATATTTGTCTTAAGCATCACCTCCTTCCCTTTGCCCCTGGTGAGATAGGAAAGTTATTATCCCTTTGTAAATATGGCAGGAAAGATAAGTGACCCACACTGGTGGCCATGGTTCTCATGGGTTTCTATAAGGCAGACCATGCATAACCTGTAAGCTAGTGACAAGACTCTGAGCTCTCTGGAGACATCTTTTCATTATATGTGTGTACAACATCTACGGCAACGGGGCTTTGATCCCTATACGAGTAAATCAATATTTTAATCATAGCCAAGAACAGCCCCACAGTTTGTTACCTTTAAATTTACTCAGAGTGTGCTCCAGAAATGTGTGCTTCTGAGAGAATTCCTTGACTCTCCTTTTCAGTTCCAGAGGAAGGGATGGTGGACTCTGAAACTTCCCCATCTCATACCTAGGGAGAAAAATGGCCTGTTGTTAGTCATTGTTAACTGATTTCAACAACAATAAAAATGTAGTGGGGGAGGAAGAATTATCAGACTTTTTTGATTTAAAATCCCTTTTTTTCATCCGAAATTTCAAAATTTCAAAGAAATTCTTAAAAAAAAAAAAAAAAAAAGTGACAGGACCGTTCCAGCTCCATTCAGTCATTGGCCCCTTTGCTGAAATTGTTGGGTTGGAGCACCCACAGAGAAAAATTGGTGGGTGCTCTGCACGCACTGGCAGCTCCCCGCTCCGCCCCACCCCACCCCACTCCAGCTCACCTCTGCTCCGCCTCTTCCGCGAGCACACCGCGTGCCCACTTCCCCCCCCAGCTCCCAGTGCTTGCACCGCAAAACAACTGTTTCGTGCGGCAGGGAGGGAGGGGGGAGGAGGGGAACGCGGCGGGTCCAATAGGGGCAGGGAGGGGGCGGAGTTGGGGCGGGGACATTGGGGGGAAGGGGTTGGAATGGGGGCAGGGCCCGGGTGGGGAAAGGGTGGAGACTGGGCGGGGCCAAGGGCGGGGGGGGCACGAGCACTCACAGGCATCGGGGAAAGTTGGTGCCTATGAGGGGGAGTGAGAAGGAGCCACGTACCTGCTCAAGGTGCTTCTGATGTCCTAGAGAGGAGAGAGAAAGAAAAGGGGAGTTCAGTCCCACACAACATATACTGGAGATCCCTCTTGCTCTGAGGTATCTAACTTGCTTATTTGAAAATCCCTCTGGGTGCTTAAATACCTTTGAAAATCTAGCCCCATGGCACATAGGATTCTGAGCCTCATTGAAAGCCTATGGGATTTAGGGTCCAAAATGCCTGAGGGACTTTTGAAAATGGGATTTAGGCTCCCAAGTCACTTAGGTCCAGATCCTCAAAGGACTTTCGGCACCTAACTCCCACTGAAATGAAGGGGAGTTTAGAAGCCTAAATACTTTTGAGGATCCATCCCTTAGGTCCCTTTTAAAATTTTTACTCCCACTTAGCTGGGACGAAGTGGAAGACTCATAAATCTGTATATGTATAAACCCGTACAGCTACTAGAGGGGAAAAACACATGTTGGTGTGAGTTACATACGGCATCACAACAGCTTAACATACAGTTGCGGGCTAATCTGCCAATGATAACTCTTGACAAATGTGTCCCTCATGACACGGACTCATTCCAACCAGTAGAAGTATAGCATGCAAATTAGCTGGAGAGGACGGGAGATGATTGTTTGAGTTCCCTCTGATGTCACAATGGGTCAGGTAAGCCTGACCTGAGCTATTGACTTGGCCCTGTCTGCAGTCTATTAATCTGAACAATCACAGATGTAGCAGTCCTCACAGTCCAAAACTGAAGGCCACTTCACTGATTCTCAGATTGTCCATTACTTGCGACCTTTAAATCAAGATTGGACGTCTTTCTAAAAAATACACTCTAGGTCAACCAAGAGTGGTGAGCTACATACAGGAATCTCTGGGTGAAATTCTCTGGCCCGTAATGAAGGAGATCAGACAAGCTGATCTAAATGATCCCTCCTGGGCATAAAATCTACAAAATTTATGGGAAAACTCATGTGTTTAAGTGCTTTGTTAGATCAGAGAACCAGTGTGCTGAGCACCTTGTACTATCAGGACCTCAATGAATAAAATAATGTATGTTTCTGCAATGCGGTGTATTGTGAACTGGGACTTCAATAGCAAAGAGACAGGGACTTGTCTACTAAGGGCTCTGGGGTACCTCTCACACAGTCTCACCTGCAGGAATTCACTTGCTGGCTGCCTGCACTTCCCTTCCATCTCACTGATCAGGGTCCCGAGACGAGATATCTCCTGGGTGAGCCTGGTGGTGAATTCATCATGCCTCTTCAATATCTCCTTGTCCAGCACTTCCAGCTGGGCCAATAGGAGCAATTCTTTCTCCTCTAGAAACAGATGGAGTTTCTCAAATTCCGACAGAATCTTCTTCCTCTCGCTCTCCGTCTGTTGCTGCGATGAGCAGACACAAGCAGGGAAAGGGTGGAGAGAAACATGTGACGGCCCATACAGAGTAACATTTCCAAAGGAGTCTGTGGTACTTTGGGGGTTCACCCAGACTCTCCTGCATTCTCCACTTTGGCCACCCTAGAACCATGACGGACTTTGCTTTATAGACATATGTAAGCAGAGTCTGAATGAGCTCTCCCCTGACATCTAGTGGTGAGCTATGGAAAAGGACTTCAGGAGCTGATCTCATTTGCATGGGCACACCCACCCTGTCTAGGTGCTCAGCATGATTGGATTGCTTGCCCAAAATGGTCACGTTTGGCTGGTGTGGGATCCACAGTCTCCTTGTTATTGGGGCAGGAGTAATAAAGCGTTGTTATCCTTGCTGTGTGAACCGAGGGCAGCAGAACTGTACTTGGCATTTCCCGACTGAGGGACTCACCCTCAACTAAATAGCACTCGCTAGGCAGGGGACATGGCTTCCAAAGGCCAGTGAATGGAGATAAATATTTATATGTGGTGGTGTGGGTCTTGCTTAAGGGCCCCAGACACTATTTGGCCCTGCCTCTCTCCAGTGTGTAATAACAGAGGTAATTCAGACTCACTTGAGAGTCTTGTTACACACTGCAGAGCTGAAATCACTGATACCTAGGTCTAAGTATTAGCTCTGCTTTGGTACAATGTCTCTGATGCAAGAGACTGCCCAGTGTGCACCAGCAGTGAAGCTCCACCACTAACACCTGAAATCACTAACAGCTATTACCTGAGTAAGGTGCCTCTCCCTCTCTCCCTCCCCCCCGCAGGGTGGGAGATGAACTCTGAAGATGCACCTCTGAACTCTGGGTCTGCACTGTCCAAGGACAGCAACTGTGAGTGGGGTGCAGAGAAGGGATAGATAAAGGGATTTTTGAGTTACTAGACTTAAGAACCTGAGGGGAACCTGCCCAACTTACTTGGTGGTGGGTCTTTTGCTCATGGTTTAGGTTTATAAACCCTGTTTGCGGTGTTTCCCAAAATTAATGCCGCATTATTTCCCTCCTTTTATTAAAAGTTTTTGCTACACTCAGACTCTGTGCTTGCAAGAGGGGAAGTATTGCCTCTTAGAGGTGCCCAGAGGGTGATGTGTAATTGTCCCAGGTCACTGGGTGGGGGCTCGAACCAGTTTTGTGTTGTATTGTTGAAAAGGAAAAAGGAACCCCTAGACACTGAACCTGGCCCTTGTTGCTACCAACTTTGACTGGCAGAAGGGTTACAGGGTTACACATAAATAAGTGATTATCCATTATAGAGCATCACACATTACTCTGTACGACTCCAATGGTATTCAGAGTCATCACATAGGTTCATTTGCTAATGAGTAAGTACCAGCAGCTCCTCGCTTGTTATTTCCCCATTCAATTTCAGTGCAGCAATGCCTTCCATCTCCTTCTTCAACATCTCCAAACGACTCCTAATTTGTCCCTAGAGAAAAGAAAAGTTACTTGCACTTGAGGGTATTTTCCTGAGTTATTTATAGGTTGACAATTATTAACTCGGTTATAAAACACTCACAAGCGCTGTCCTTCAAAATGTATATACACATCATAAATTATATATGAATAAAGACAATCTGCTTTGTCTAGCAAAGTTCATACGTCACCCTGGATAGAAGAAGACATCACATCTGTCAGCCATGAGCTCAATAGCAAAATAACAAATATTATATACATGCCTTAGACAGACCGAAAGTTCAGTCAAACTGCATGCTTCGATTAAGTTAAATAGACCAGAATATTAGGCTCTAGAGACATTCTTGTAAATATAGGATGGGGTATTAAAATCCCCAGTTTAGAATAAAACTAAATATCGCACTTGATCCTGTATGTACACAAAACTTAATGACATTTCGCAAGAAAAGAATTTGAAAATGAATTTTCACGAACATCTACATGATCCCCAGTCAGAACGCCTCCTCCTCCCGGCCGGCTTAAGATAATAAAAACAGCAACACAAAAGATTTGTCAAAATTTAAAATGATGGGTGAGATTCTGAGCAGTATCTCTTAGCGATATAGCACAGAACTTACGGCCCAGGGAGGGGTGGCACTATGATGGGAATACAGAGATAAGCAAGGGATCCCTGCAAGACCAGGGCTTAGGGTGTAAAATCAGCCGTTGTCTCTTGTCTGGGCAGAGCTAGCAACATTAAGAACGATACACACATTTAAGATTCTTTTCCTAGCGCTTCTTTCGCAGGTCGCAGCCTTATCTGTCACTGAGTCGAAGTAAACAAACGCCCAGGCGAAAGACTTTGCTAAGGTGAAATCGTTTTGAACAAAACCTTTCCCCCCCCCCCAGGAAAAAAACCAACATTATTGCACAAAGCAGCTGCTTTCCATGAACACTTTAATTTAGTTGAAAACTCAATTTTTCATAGACCACCAGAGTTAGAAGGGACCTCAGGAGGTCATCTAGTCCAACCCCCTGCCCAAAGCAGGACCAATCGTGAGACAGATTTTTGCCCCAGATCCCTAAATGGCCCCCTCAAGGATTGAGCTCAGAAACCCTGGGTTTAGCAGGCCAATGCTCCAACCACTGAGCTATCCCTCCCCCCATTTGTTTGTTCCTCAAAACAAACAACAATAAAGTTTCCACAGAAAAGCATTAGCCAGGCGAGGCATTTGGAAGTTACCTGCTCCAGACGCTATGAGTGGGGCCGGATCATTGCAGCGGCACAAAGGACCCTTAAACCAGCCCTTATAAGAGAATCCTGAGCTGATGTTAAACTCTCCTTCCTCAGCATGTAAGGTGTTTAGGGAGCAGGGCCTAGTGCAGTGGTCCCCAAACTTTTCGGGGTCATATCCTCTCTTACCCCTGTTTGCACCCCACCCCCAGGGCAGCTGGGACCGGAACACCCGGTTAAAAAGGGATCCTGGCAGCTCCGTTAACTGGGCCTGACTAGGCCATTGACTGTGCGTTGACTGCAGCGGGGCTGGCAGCTGGCATGTCCCCTCTCTGGTTCCTATGCGTAGGGGCAGCCAGGGGGCTCTTCACACTGTCCCAGCCCCAAGCGCCACCCCTACAGCTCCCATTGGCTGGGAACCACAGCCAATGGGAGCTGAGGGGGTGGTGCCTGCAGAGGGGGCAGCGCCACCTGGCCACGTCTCAGCATAGGAGCTGCAGGGGGGAAAGGCCGCTGCTTCCGGGAGCTGCTTGAGGTAAGTGCTGCCTGGAGCCTGCACCCCTGAGCCTCCCCCGGGGCTGGGCCCCAACCCCCTGCCCCAGCCCTGATCCCCCTCCCGCCCTCTGAACCCCTCGATCCCAGCC